GGGCGCTCGCCGCTAATTGTACGGCGCGCAGCCAGTATTTATCAAATGCGGCTTTCCATTAGATGTCTGAAGTAGCTGCTGAGCCAATGGGCGCGCCTAGATAGCGCGCGCATTATTCAATCTGACGGCGTTGCTGCTCAAGCACCAGAAATACAAGGAGGCGCTGGGCGAGGGAGTGCGCAGCAAGTGAAAAGGGCGCCCATAAGGGCACAATCGTTGTCTTCTGGATCTGTAGTTCGAGTCCTGCGAGAGTAGCAATGGCCCGACACGGGGTATGGAGGAAAGGGAGGGCCCCAAGGCGAGCGAGGACAAAACCCAAGTTATCTGCGCAGGCACCGAACTCGGTGGATCCAGGGGGTTGCTTATACTCTGGACAAGGTGTCTAATGGGCGCATCAGAAGCCAAGGCCAAATCGATTCCGAGAGAGGGCAGCCCTGGAGAACACCTGAGCCCATTTCGAACGTGCATTGAAGAAGGCCATCTACACGGGCTCAGGCTCTGGGGGGGCGATGAAGTGCATAAATGGCACTGGGGCAGCCTGGAGGAACCCCGTGGGCTACCAGCGACGCAAACAAAACTCCCATCCTAAGGATGGGGGGGGGGGGGGGGTCAGCTTTGATATCATAGCTGACAAGGATAGGGAAAACGTCTGGTGCCTCTGGGGAGTGACATGCTCTACGGGCCTCAGGGTCTAGGGTCAGTGCGTGTTGTCGTCAAAGTTTCGCCCCTGTGCAAAACCCTGTTGCGTGCCCATTGCCCGCTCCCTGACCATGTCCGCAAGACCCGTATTCACCGCGTGGGCGATCAGTTTGGCGTCGCAGTTCTTTAAGGAGAGGGGGCGGGTGGCACCTAGAGCTCGAACGACGGCATACTAGTCCTGGGGTTCGTCTCCTGTCGGAAGAAACGCGAAGACCGAGTCGTTGAACCGGTGCGGGGCAAGGCCAGTTTCGAACATCTGCATCATGCGGTCATAAAGTATCTGAGAATATCCAGGCGAGGTGGCCCATGCAGCGTATGGAATCTGATCTGGGCCTGCAGCGGTATGTCTGACCTTGCGGAGGGCCCTCTGGAAGTCCTGAAGAGCTGGAACCCGTAGGTCCGCGCAATCGAACTTGGGGAGGTGCTGGGACAGGCGCTGCTGAACCGCCGCGGGGCCCACAATCTTGCTCGAGAAGATGGGCTGCTAAAACTTCTGGAGGCCTCCGAGAATACTCTCGGGGGAACTGGTGGTGGCGAGGGATGCTGTAGGTGCCCCCTCTTCCGGTACCCTAAGTCCTGAAAGTACGAGGCGACGGCGACATGGATTCCAGGCCTGCGCCCGTCGCGTGAGCTGCATCGCGGCCTTCCGACTGCCGGCCTGGTGCAGCTGCACCTCGGCGTTGGACTACAGCTGGCGCTTCGTGGCGAGAGCGACGCGCCTGTCGTAGTCGGCGGTGACCGCCGCGTCCATCAGATCGATATACTCGCCCCTGTTCGTGAGCTCGGGGCCGTCGCCCGCGAGGCGCAGGTGCGCGCTGCCGATGTCGGTCGCGGCCATGAGGAGCGACGCCGCGTCTGAATCCTTTCGCCAAATCGCCAGAAAAATTGCGCAAGGGTAGTAATCCTGTCATGTTTTGCCCAGTGACTGTGGTCATGACGGGAAGCGCGCTGCTGAAGGTTGCGAGTGAATGTCGCCGCCTCTTCGACGATGTGCTGGCGCTGCTTCGAGGCTGCGCTGCGCGCAAGCGCAGCCTTGGCAATGTTGCCCTTCAAAAAATTGAAGTGGCGCTGGTAGGTGGGGTCGTGGAAAATGATCGGGTCGATCGCTTGCTCTTCTGGCCGCGAGGCTTAGGCGTTGACCAGATGCAAGCGAAGAATGGCGTGATCGCTGCGGCCTCTGCCGGATAGAGCCGCAACGTCTGTGTGAATCTTCAGGCGCGCGTCCACATTTATCAGGTCGGTTCCCGAGAGGGAGATGGCGACGCGGCCGATTGCCGTGGCCGTTCCCCCGTTGGCCGAGAAGCGCGCGGGGAGTTCGTGCGCGATCTCTGCGAGCGAGGCAAAGAGTTGGCGCCGCCGCGCCTGCTCTCGCTGATATTGTCCGCCAGATGCCATAGGTCGCCAGCGTGCAGAAGGATCCTCGAAGTTGAAAATGGGGGCGGCGCTGATATGGAAGTCGCCCACGGCGATGAAGAGTCTTTGCTGGGGCGCCGCTGCTGCCCAGTTCCGCGAGGCACGCCGCGCCTCGGCTACTCTGTCCACGTCTGCTGCCACCAAGTCATGGTTGTGTACGTTCATAATGAGCGCCTCCAAGCCCGCGGTGTGATTAGCGATGTGCAGGACTGCAACTCGACCGCGGATAACTGGCCAGAGCGACGTTGATGTAGAAGGCGACGCAGGTGCCGGAACCAAACAGGCCACCCCCCTTTGCCGCGCTTGAGGGGGCAGCCGCTGACGTGCACTTGATAATCAGAAGGAAATTTGCCGATGTGCGATTCGAGATCGAATTGCGAGCCGCGTGCTTCTTGCAGGGCTAGCAGGGCCTGCTTGCGCATGAATGGAGCAGTCTGCTTTATCTCCCCCATCTCTTGCGATCATCATAACAAAGAAGGCGCCTGGCATTCCGGAGTGCGCAATTGCCTGCGGCCTCTGAGGCAATAGGCCCGGTAGTAATCCGCGTCGGCTTGGTGCGACGAGCACGCAGGAATGCGATGCTGGAACTGGAAGAAGAAGATGAGCTGCTGGAGCTGGAGGAAGAAGAAGATAAGCTGCTGGAGCTGGAAGAAGAAGCGTTGCCCGATGATGAGCTGAACCCCGAGACTGAAGCCGCCCGGGTCTTGTCGGCATTCAACAGGAGATCTTGCTCTGGAAGAGGAAGGGCCTGAGCTGCGTGAGGCGCGTCGCGCTGGGGAAGGCGCGCTGCTGCAAGGCCCCCCAGGCCTGCGAAGACTGACATATGATCTGGGGGGCTCTCTTGCCCCTCGGGGGCAACAGGGGCGCCCCGGTCCCCGCGCGCCTGCCGTCGGTGCGCGGCCCGTGCAGGATGAGACCTACGACGCCGTGGAACTTGCCCGAGTTCACGCGGAGCGCGCGCGGGCAGCTGCGGGGCGTCAGCAGCGGCAGGACAAGGTGGAGAACGTTCAGGCGCTAGTCGAAGGCGCTGCAGAGGATGCGGTCGCTGCCCCGCAGGCGCGCCAGGTCCTGGAGGGCGCGCGTGATCAGCAACAGTTGACAGTCGTCCGCCATGGCGACCAGCGCTTGTTAAATTCACTGCGCTGGGTCCTCGGCTTTGTAGAGGGCGGCAGATTCTACAGCGATTGTGGCCTTGTTTATGGGGACCTTGGCCAGCGCGTCTTGATTCCAATGAATGATGGTTGCCGCGTCCATGCTAGTGAGCTCCAGTTTGGCGGTGGGTATGGCGCTGCAGAACATGCGCCCTTGATCACAAAGAGCGCTCCAATTCTGCGCGGGGCAGTGCGTCTGGCAGAGGGGGGGCAGCTTTTCCGTTTGAGTTTCCATTCGGATGCGCTTGATGTTCTTGTCTGGGTTGACGTAGAACGGAACGTACTGGCCATTGTTGACGGCGCTGTTGGTAGGTGTCTGAGCTGTGAACTGCCTGTAGCCACCACGGCCTAGGTAAATGAAGTGCCCGAGCAAGGGCCAATGATTAGGTGATGGCGACTGGACGACCTCCAAGGAGTTGTATGATGAAACGCCGATTCGGTCCTTCTTCATGAATCTGAGACTGCTGCGGAGCCACGTCTGCTGCGTCGAGCCACTCGGCGATGGCGATGCGAACGGCGGCGGTGGCGACGGGCTGCGCGCAGGAAAACGAAAATGGCGGGATCTGGCCCACGATCCCGATCCAATAGTTTGGCCATGTCCAATATGGGTGCCGCTGCTTCGCCGAGGCTGAGCTGCTGGTTGATACGCTGGATTGCACTCCAGATCGCCTGGTGCCGGGCTGCTTGCTTCGCTTGTGCGGTCTTGATTCCCATGGTGTGTTGCCCTTGGCCATCCAATCTGCGAGTAGTAGCTGCTTCATGTCGCTGTAGTGCAGCGAGAAATTGAGTCGGCGAGGCTGATACAGCGTTGCCGACGGCTGTATTGATGGCGGCGAGCTGCGATGCCATGATCTGCTTGAGCTCGTGCTGGATATCTGGGGCGAGATTTGACTGTGGCCAAAATGCTTCTGTAGGCGTGGCTGTGCTTTCTTCTGCTGGAGCTGGTGCTGGAGCTGGTGCCATTGGTCCAGAACTGGCTGCGGCGGCAGTTGATGCTGTTGTAATAGGAGGGAGATGCAGCGCTTCGCGCCGATCTCGTTCTCGCTGACTTTGATGGGCTTGCCACTGTGCTTGCTCTTGAGAGGGGAAAGTAGGTGCTGCATCCAACTCTTCACGGGCAGTTTGTTGCCAGGCTTCTTGGGTAGCATCTGCGTGAAATCCTTGACGGGCTCCAGAGGTTTCGCGTCTGAGAGGTCCTTCAGAGCGTCTACTATGTCCTTTGTGCGGCGGGCGTGATCCTTCGGAAGAAGAAGGATGGTGGCGTCTATCCATATCACGTCTGCGGTGTCGATCACGGTCACGGTCTCTATCTCTCCCACTGCGTTTTTCAAGGTGTCTGCGTCGATCGCGTCGGTGTCCAGTGGCTTGGCTTCTGCTTTTGGAATCGTTTCGGGAAGATGCTGAAGCAGAATATGTATCCATTCGGAAACATCGAGCATAATAAGACCACGTACCGCCTGTTCGATGCCATGCGAGCGAAGAGCCAACCGAAAGACATGCAATTGAATTCGTTGAATTAGTATGCGCAGGGGAACTTTTTTCTGCTGATATGGAGCGTCGTCGCAGGCTGGGCAGCCGAGGCGGGCCTGTGGGTTATGGAAAGGAACAGAGCTGAACGGCCAGTTTTACTTGAGCCAAAATGGCTTGAGCCAAAATGGCTACGGAGGAGGAAGAGGACGAGGACGAGGAGGAGGAGGAGGCTCCCAGGTGGTCGCAGACGTCTGCCGAGGGGCAGGCTTGGCGCAATGCTCCGCCTTCTTCAGGGCGTCATACGGGGTCTGCGCGGGCCGGGCGGCGCTCCCGGGGGCAGGGCTTGCTCGATCGGGCATGCACAGATCTCCCCCGTCCTCCAGGGCGGAAGCGGAGCGAGAATAAAACACAAAGAGAGAGATAGAGAGAGAGAGAGACGGACACATATAGGTATGTGTGTATTTATAGATAGAGAGACAGAGAAAGAGAAAGAGAGAGAGAGAGAGAAACAAGAGAGAGAGAGAGAGAGAGAGATGGAGAGAGACATCGACTTGGACAAGCAACGCCATCCCCACCCCCGCAGTGGAAACTTTCGCCCCGCCTGCCGACATACCCCATCCTATGTGGGGATGGGTGCGCCCCCCTGCGTTATTCGCTGCACCCATCCCCACCAAGGGGGGGGGGGTAATTGTGCCAGGAGGGCCACATTACCCTGTCCCAGAAGGTCTTGGAATGTTTCTGGCGATGAGAGGAGAGGCCATCGACTGGAGGGTGCCGTTGCCTGCTGATTCTCTAGGTTCCAAGCGTGGCTATGAGCTGTCATAACGCCTCGCAACTTATGCCGACAGGGTGGAGGCCCGCCCCGCCATCGCCGAGGATACGTATTGAAAACGAACAAGCTGGGCGGGGACAGACGAGTCACCAAATACGGCAGGGTGCAGTGCAGCAGGTGTCCACACACGACGCGCCGCTGTCGGCTCATTATGTGGGTTTGTCGGGGCGGCGACTGGCCGGCAAATAGGAGCACGAATTGGCCCCTCGAGGCGCGCCAGGCTGACCATCGGGGAAACCCAGCCAACTGGCCAACTCAGTAGAGCACAAGCCCAGCCCCCTAAGCGCCAGGGTGCGGGGGAAACGAGATTAAAAGCGATTGCTGGTGTCCCCGTCCGCACGTTTTTCTCGCCGTTTCGCCTGGGAACTCCTCCTTATCCTCCTCGTCCTCCTCCTCTTCATTATACTTTCTCCCTTCCCTAGATGTCCCCCCGCGACTTTCCACAACGGCCCGGGGAGACCTTCACTGGCCAGGCCAAGCCTTGGCCGAACCTTTGGCCACATCGGAATTTCCAGGAAGGCAGGAGACAACAGTAATTCACAATCGGCATCTTCGACACAATAAAGGAGCGAGTGAGAGAGAGGGAGAGAGAGAGAGAGAGAAATACTCACACACATGTATTATTCTACATATATATATAGAGATTGAGAAAAAGAGAGAGAGAGAGAGAGAGAAACCACACAACCAACAACTATATATATATATATATATATATATGTATATATATACATATATATACATATATATATATATACACACACGCAGCACCCCGCATATGCGGATAAGAGTGATGGGGGCGGCGGGGACGTCGGCATTTTGCGAGATTCTGGACAATGCCGCCGCAGCCCGCCGCGGGCGCCGGTTCTTTCGTTAAACCAATGTGGGTTGGTCGCGGGTGGGTCACGCGTGGGTCGCAAATGGGTTGCGGCTTGGTCGCGGGGTGGGTCGCGGGTGGGTCGCGGGTGGGTCGGGGGTGCGTCGCGGCGGGGTGGGTCGCGGGTGGGTCGCGGGTGGGTCGCGGTGGGTCGCGGGTGGTCGCGGGTGGGTCGCGGGTGGGTGGGTGGGTCGCGGTGGGTCGCGGTGGGTCGCGGGTGGGGGGTGGTCGGGGTGGGTCGCGGGTGGGTCGCGGGGGGTGGGTCGCGGGGTGGGTTGCAGGTGGGTCGCGGGTGGGTCGCGGGGTGTGTTGCGGGGTGGGTCGCGGGGTGGGTCGCGGGGTGGGTCGCGGGGTGGGTCGCGGGGTGGGTCGCGGGGTGGGTCGCGGGGTGGGTCGCGGGTGGGGTCGCGCGGCGGGTCGCGGGGTGGGTCGCGGGTGGGACAACGACAACAAACAACAACAACGCAACAACGCAACAACGCAACAATAGAACAAACATAATCCTCAGTGCGGATCCCCACTGCAGACACGCACCCAAGGACAATGAATGCCCCCGCACTCTGATGTGTAGATGTGTCCCGAACAGCGTTTGCACTTAAGGCTTGTATTTCTGTTTCAAGAAACTGGGGCTGACGGCCAGTCTGGCGGCTATGTGTCCGCCGTCGCCGCCCCGTCGCCGCGTCGCCGCCCGCCCTCTGGGCCTGTCGGTCGGTCTGGCGGCTATGTTCTCGCCGTCGCCGCCCCGTCGCCGCCCCGTCGCCGTGCCGTCGCCGTTCTGTCGCCGCCTAGATTGTACAACCTCGATTTGAACCACGTAGATTATGTTTACCTGTTTACCGGGTGGTTACCAATCTCTGATGCCCGCTGCTTCCGTGACAAGATGAAACATGCGCTACGCAGTGAACGGAAAATGCATTGCGTCACGCTGTAACAACATCCTGTCACACACTGCGTTCAAAAGAACGTCGTGGGCGATCCAGCGACTAAGAAACCGCATCAGGTGAACCGCGGCCATCGCTGCACACGCAGTGGCGCTCGGAACGCCGCGACTTGGAAATCTCCCCCATGCCATATTCACCAATCTTCCTGGAGAGCCCCCGAATCGAACAATCCAGCCAGCTCCCAAGGAACCTCGGAGGCCGCCATCAAAACTGCCATGCACGTGGTTCCTGGTCGGTCGCACCGGGGTTCCCACGTCAATCACGAGGGTGTCGAGCGCAAAACCCTCTCCCGCAAGCGCATCAGCTTCGGAATTGTTCCCACTCGTGCACGCGATGGTAAAATTCACCGCGGGGTTCGTGCGGAAGCAGAAAAGACAAACCCAACGCTTGACCAAGACAAGTTGTGCGCGTCATGACGGCCGTCTGGCGCGGCTTGTACTTTGCGCGCCATAGCCCTTGAAGCCAGCGCATTGCGCTCAAGTTGTCGCCCGCGACGGCCAGGCAAATCGCGGGCGCGGCCGGCATACTATCCCAATAAATCTTCCATGGGCTCACCTGTCTCGGCCGTTTCCGCTGATGGTCCACTGCTGAACGACCAACTGTGGGGGCATGCCGGTCCTCCAATTCCCCCAGGTTCAAATTCGAATAAGCCTTTGCGATGAACTCGCCCTCCTTCCGCTGCCACTCATTCGGTTCGCGAGCGTGCGTCTTCCATTGAATCCCGAAGGCAATCGCAAAAGCTCTGTCCCAACGCATTTGGGGGCCGATCTGGAATGCCCCCAGGACGTCGAACTGTGATTTCCCATTCCTCCGAGTGCCTGCGCGATTCTCAACCATTCCGAATCTCTCCATGCAGCGCAAGCCGGCAAGACCTGCACGGTGAACTGTGAAGGACAACGGAGACGGTGCAGACAACCGCCCGCCCAATGAAGCTGGCCTACGAAGATTGTGAACAGTGACTACCCGCCTCCTTGGCGGAAAATTTCTCGTGCTTTCCGAGTCGCCCGCTGGGCCCGGAGAGCATGCCACCCCTCCTCTCGCCGACCTCTCCCCAGCATCCCCCCCTCGCCGACCTCCCCCCAGGAAGTGCTAATGGCGCGAAATCCGACACGCTCCATCATCGCAAGGACTGCCTCCGCTCTCTCGGCGCAATGCGCCCCCCGCCGCGCCCCCAGAGCACGCGATCCAGTAAGGCCCCCCATGTCTGCGCCTAACTCCACTTGCAAGTCTCCCCCGAAAATGAAATACCTGGCCCCTCCCTGACGCAGCGATTCTGCCAGAGCAGAAGGAGGGGCCAAAGACGTCATGAAGGCACCAGAAGATCTCGAGGCATCAGGCAGGCAAGCTGAAACAGTTCCAGAATCTCCCAAACTATTCCTTGACGGCGAAAGTATTGATCTGCATGCGAGCCCCGCAAAAACACCCCATGAGCTCGCGTGGGGCGATTGCGGCAGATAGACAGGAACTACGGCGAATGAGACTCCAGCCCAAAGCTCCGCATCCGGCGGCCCAGAAGAACACTCCTGAACCAGCGAGACGCCCTTAAAAAGTCGATCAACGTCGTACACAAGGTAGACTGGAATGAACTCCAAATTTTGAACGATGCACGTTGAAAGTGCCGACCCTCATAGAATGCACTCCCAAGGACTGCATTGCCTCGGCACCTCCACCCCCCTGCTCCTGCCGATTCAATCGGCCCGCTTGAACGACCACATATCCCTGTTCATCCCTGCCCAGTCCAATCCGAAAACTTACGCGCGTTGGACTCGTTCCACCACGCAGCCCCGTTCTGGTCGACGTAGCCCGTCTCCCCCCCCCCCAACCTTGCAGGTGAGCTGCCAGCGCGGGTTCCACGGACACGCTGCGAAAGAATCTGGATGGGAAATCTTGATTTTGTAGTCAGGGAGCGCCTTAGCTTTGCCGGAGATCTCTCGGCGTTCGCCCACAACTAATGATGGTTGCAATCGGCGGCTGGGTCCTCCAATAATTCTTCGAAGCAGAGGGCGATTTCCACGGCGCGTGAATCGACGTGAACGCGAATACGATTCGAATGGCTCCCGAATAGTTCGAAATCCTTCACCTTGGATGCCAAAGACTCAGGGAGTTTCGCCTTCAACGCATTAGCAAATGGTTCCGCCTCGATTATCGAAGTGCTTTTGGTCCGGCGCTCGGCGCGAGTCGAAAAGTTGTTACTCGTAAATAATGCAAGCTTGAAAGCACAAGGCGCACCCGAACTCCCTGCATCACTGCCTGACCCGCCTCTTGTTTTCGCAATGTTTAACGCCTCATCGCACTGCTGCTTCAAGTTGGCAAGTTGGCTGGGATGCTCCTGGACCGTGGTGGACAAACCGTCGACCTTCGCCGTCAACGGTTCGAGCTCGCCCTTAACCGTGTCAACGATCGTTGTCTTCAGTGTCTGCATAAATGCGTTTTGGTCCATACCACCCACCTTAGCCATCCTGAAAGATACGGCAACTATGCGCGTTGGTTCCGTTAGTGCGGAACCAGGTGCGACTGGGCAACTAAGGGGGCACAGGTGCGATCGGGAATTAAGGGGGTGCAGCCCTTCAGCCCTTGAGCCCTTCAGCCCATGCCCTTTTGCGTACTGCAGTGTACGTGCGATTCTGTCCCATCGTCCATTCTAAATCTGAACTCGTACTG